GTGTTTTCTCCTATGAACTGCTTGCTTCAGCTCCTTCCACAACATTTCAATTGGATTAAGGTCTGGATTTTGACTCGGCCATTCCAAAACATTAACATTGTTCTTCTTTTTACAATTATTTAGTAGAAATACTTGTTGTAATACAATGGCCCCAAGCACACATGACCCATTTTTTCTCAAGATACAGATGTCCTAATATTTTCCTTTATAATTTGCTGGTATAATTCAGAATTCATTGTTCCATCAAAAATGGCAAGCTGTCCTGGCCCAGATACAGCAAAACAGGCCCAAACCATGATACTACCACCACCATGTTTCACAGATGGGATATGGTCCTTATGCTGGAATGCAGTGCTTTTCCTTTCTCTAAACATAACGGTTCTCATTTAAACCAAAAAGTTTTATTTTTGGCCTTGTGTCCACAAAACATTTCTCCAATATACCTCTGGCTTGTCCACATGATCTTTAGCAAGCTGCAGACAGGCACCAATGTTCTTTTTGGAGAGCAGTGGTTTCTACTTGCAACTCTGCCATTCACACCATGGTTGTTCAGTGTTCTCCTGATGGTGGATTAATGAACATTAACATTAGCCAATGTGAGAAAGGCCTTCAGTTATTTCAAAGTTACCCCAGGGTCCGTTGCGACCTTGTGAACTATCGCATGCTCGCATGAGGGTAACAATGGTCTTGAATTTCCTCCATTTGTACACAATCTGTGGATTTGTTCAAACTCTTCAGAGATGGTTTAGTAACCTTTTCTAGCCTGATGAGCAACAACAACTCTTCAGAGATGGGTTAGTAACCTTTTCCAGCCTGATGAGCAACAACAACTATTTTCCTGAGGTCCTCAAAGATCTCCTTTGTTCGTGCCATGAATCACTTCCACAAACATGATCAGACTTTGATAGATACCTGTTCTTTAAATAAAACAGGGCACACACTGCCACCTAATAGTCATACCACTGATTGAAAACAGCTCTGAACAGATTAACTCTAATTTCACCTTCAAATTAATAGCTAATCCTAGAGATTCACAAACTTTTGCTGCTCACAGATATGTAATATTGGATCATTTTCAAGAATAAATAAATGACAAATTATATATTTTTGTCTCATTTGTTGACTGGGTTCTCTTTGTCAACTTTCAGGACTTGTGTGAAAAACTGCTGATCTTTTGGATCATATTTATGCAGAAATACAGAAAATTCTGAAGGGTTCACAAACTTCCAAGCAGCACTGTGTATTAGAATTATTTCTGAAGGATCATGTGACACTGAAGACTGGAGTAACTGCTGAAAATCCAGCTTTGCCATCACAGGTATAAATTACACTTAAAAATATATTAAAATAAACAATTTAAGATGTAATATTTCACAATATTACTTTATCAAAAAAAATGCAGACCCAGTAAGCATTTTCACAAACATTTACTGACCCCAAAATTTTACTATGAGTGGATTGTTTCTGCTGTAATGTTTCAGACTATACAAACGTAACACTCAACACAAAAGGGGAAGTGATGGGACTATCATGTTTGAGCCTTTATAACGCAATAAATTTACCTCAGCCTCCACCTGCAGATGCTGCAAGAAACTCATGAGCATCACAGACACACCACACTGCCCTCTCAGTGTCTAATCAGACGGATGAAACTAATCTTCTCACACCGACTTCTCCAGTTCGTAGGAGTCTCCTCAAGAGCCGCAGGAAAGATTCCTGAGCACGCTCGTCACATAGGAGGAGAGATACAGCAGCGGAGGATGAGTGAGGTTACCGTTTCATCTGGCTCAGTAAGCCCGGACTAATTTGAGGCCTGAGTGGAGAGGGCACTTGTGTGCAGGCCTGATGAAAGCTCTTCAGAGGAGAGAAAAGAGTGGAGGATTGTATCAAATCGCTGGTCGCTCTCATAGAGAAGCCCTTCTCGATCTCTCTCGCTCTCTCGACAGAGCCTCTTCTCTTTCTTTCTTTCTCTCTCCCTCTTCAGTGGTGCCACTCAACAGGATAGCCCTTTAATCTCCACCTATTCAGCTGCTCCCTTATTAAGAGTGAAACTAGGAAGAAACAAAAAGAAAAAGAGAAAATAAAAACACACCTTGTCTATGTACAGCTTTTTCACATCAGAGCAAAATAAATGAAAGAGATGAGAGTGAGCGAGAGCGAGAGCAGAACGAGAGCCTGCAGGAAAATCAGTATGTTGGGATTTGGAGTGTATCTCTCCCTCTCCTTCATCCTCTCAGAACTCCTTCTGAGAAGAACATCAAACTAAGGGCTGCCAGCTAAGGTAAGCTTCAGAGAGACTGAAGGACAAAACAAAGCAACCAAAGGAGAGAAGAAAAGAACTGCAGGATGGAGGATAATGCAGACGCCTGACTCACTGAGTAGGGAGAAAGAGTGGGTCAGTTCGTCATCATCTGAGGGAGACAATCGAAATCTGCAGAGATTAGTGAAAATCAATCTCTCTCATTTGATCTATCCACTGCCATAATGTACAAAGGCTGGTACATCAGTCAATCATCAATCTGCTGCTGACACTCCTTTGCTAACAGCAAGACCAAGTTCATCATGTAGTCTGGTGTATTTAGACAGGAGCGCCCACATTAGCAGTAGACTGTACTCGTGCCGATGTGAAATCAAGCCTCCTGTGAGAGACTAACAGGTGTAAGAAAGGAGCAACAGAGTCCTCAGCACTTCTTAGACACTGGTGACGAAAGTGGCATCATGTAGATGTAAGTTTCTTTTTTGATGGCGGGACAATAAAGGCCTGTTCATACCAAAGGACGATGCCTATAATTTTAATATCATTCTAATGCACTAACCACATAAACCCCACATGGAAACTGACCATAGGAAGCACTACACACTTCCAACAGAAATAGAACAATGATCTTTTGCACTTGAAAGTTAATTTAATATATATTCTGCCTAATTTTGGATATTTTTCCAGTATCCAAGGCATGTGCAGTTTGACATAACCAGTGTAGACAATGCATTAAATAAGTCCACAGATTTTATCTGGGTTTTTTTAGTCTCGAGTCCTTTTCTCAAAATCAAAATAAGCATCAAGTTGAAAACATTCCCCCTTTCCTTTTACGGTACAAAGATTCAAGGCCAAATGTTTTTGTTTTTTTATAAATCAGTTAATCCTGTAAGGTTTTCAATAAAAATAAAAAATAAAATAAAAACACCCATCAGTGCAAAGTAGAAATGGTTCCTATAGATTTGAGTATACACATGACATTGCCATGCAATGTTTTAAATAGCATGTTTACTAAAGGGCTATTGTGGGCAAACTTCAACAGCAAAGTTCATTGGCAGAGGAAGTGTGAAGTTTCATTTCTTTACAGTTACAGTCATTTTAATTCTAGAGCATCAGAATGCAGGAGGTGAGAGACATTTACTGAAATCACACTCTTAATGAAACCAACTCAAACCAACAAAATAAATAAATTGTCACAAACACACTTCCTGGCCGATAATCCACTCGAGGTGAGAAAATCAAAAGGGTGTGTTGTGTGTGTCACCACCTGTGGTTGGGGGACCGCAGGGCATATTTGAGTCAGCTGGGTCTGTGGTTACAACAGATAGACGAGGCAGCAGAAACTATGTCTCTTTTACACAAACACACACTCAACTTCATGTCTCAACTCTTCAGTCAGCCTTTCAGCAGCTTGACATCATGTGGGAACATCTAGATAACATATCCAGCATTCCCAGCCTCTGTCATTGGTCTCCATACTTAAGACATATGGGGTTAACGTGACACCCAGTCTGTGATTCAAATCCCACAGTGGTGCTCTCAATTAAACCAACATTCATGACACGTTTTACAAAAAAAAAAAAGTTTATTGAATTATTAACAACTGTACATGATCAGTGCTGACAGTTTGCTACATACTTTGGTGTGAAGTTGAGAGGTTGTGAAAGGCAGGCGGGTCAAGGTTTTGTACTGTACTAAAGTCGGAGTTTGCCGTGACCGGTTCTGCTGTGGCCCCATGAAGGTCACTCCAAGTCCCACAGTTAAACAGTCCACATTTACACAAAAATGGTTAGCCAGGATCAGGTTTAAAAGAGCCAGTCTCTTTTCTCTCTCTCTCATGCGCACACACTTTCACACCCGAGCTTTCACCAAAGTCAGTGCAGGCAATGAATATTTTCATTAGAAAACTGGCTCAACTTGTACAGAAATGAATCCCCAATTGACTCCGAACACTCACAAAGAAGAAGGTTAACATCAATCTGTGAGTGAAAACAAGGCTGCAGGCTCATTAGGGTGGAGCTCTACAGCAAAAGTAAGCTGTCAATCACTGGGGTGAGTCATTTCCCATTTCAACAACAGCGAACTATAGTGGGCCGCTTATGGGATCAGTTGGCAAGTTACTCATCAATGTACGATTCACGCTGAGTCAGCATGTTACAATCACACTTCATTATCTGAATTCCTCTTTCCAACAAGACGCCACACAATGCAAAGGGCACAGAAAAGTAGTACAGTTAGTCATTCTCCAAGTTTAAGATCGCTGTCAATTTACAAACATCTCCTCACTCTCCTCTGGGCTGTTTCCATCGTATTCTGACTTCCGCAGGATTCCAGTCTGATCCCATTTCCATGAACCGCACATAGGCTCAAAAAGCAAAAAATAATTACCAAGAACAGGAAGGGGTTTTCCACATGAGCCTTTTCGCAAATGGCCAGCCCAGAGACTGTGCTTACAAAAATCTAAATTAAAAAGTGTGTCCTAATCTACATTCATCAAGCATTAAGGACATGAGGACAAAAAAAACCATCACAAGTATATCAGGACATGGAAATATATATAATTATATATTTATAAAACGTCTTTATTACTCCATATATACACTTTTTAACAAATTGTCCAGGGAGCGGGAGGCTAAAACTGAAGCACTGCTTCATATTACATCACAGATAGTTCACTTTTTCTTAAAAGGAAGGAAAGAAGGTGGGGGGGAAATACTATGGAAGGAATAGGCACACAATCCCATGAGCAGACCGAAAGCAAAGGCAAGACAATATTTACTACATTAGTGCCGTCAGGAAGTCCTTGGGACAGTTTAACACGTTTCCGCTCGGATCTGTAGAGGACTGCTCCACTGCTGTAAGAATCCAGGTGCGCTAAAAATAAAAACATCTGGGAACCGATCCCAATGGACCGACCAGTTCCTAACCTGGTTTCCTACTATAAAAGGAGGAAAAAGTGGAGGAGTGATCCCTTGAATCCATTAAATATCAGGCCCAATGAGAAACTCCATACATAGGTCTTTACATCTGGCGAAGCAGTGAATTTAGTAGATCACTTCATACACAGTGGCCTTCTTGTCTCCAGATCCTGTCACAATGTATTTATCATCAGCTGAGATGTCACAGCTCAGGACAGAGGACGACTCCTTGGACTGTGGAGGGAGGAAAGCAGGAAAACGATTAGCTGACATGATCAAACAAAGACTCAGTGAGATCATGAACCACAGAGAAGCATGTCAACACCACTCCCTTCTAAATATTAATTGAAGCCACTGAGAGGCAAGTAGGTGTGTAGACAATTGGCAATGTATGTGAGAAGTGCAGAGTTGTGTGATTTTTGCCTGAAGCAGGGAGACTTAAGTTGCTCAAACAATTTAATGGCCATCGTCTAATTGAATGTCAGCAAGAATTCCCCTTGTGTTAAACGGTATTAATAGATTATCATAACAGATTATCATGTCAGCAGTCAACTTGAAAGAGGAAATTTAAAAAAATAAAAAAATAATAACAATAAAGTTGATCAAAAATACACGTTTTAGTGAAAAGTGACAGACGGTAAGAGTGGGAAGTAAAAGATGTTTTAAATTATTTAATTCAGGGAATATTGCCTGCATGTCACAATAGAAGACTCAATTTTATATAGAACTGAAATGATGCTTATGTTCTAATAAAACAGGAAACTTTTCTCCCCAAAAAACCAAGCACAAATATTGCTGAGCAAACGCTCACCAGTTAACAGAGAGCAAACAATATGACAAACCCGGAGTGGAGTAGCAGCTGACTGAGTAAAATGGTTTATTTATTAATTTTTACATTTCCATTTAGCTTTATTTTTTATTTCAGTTTTAGTAATTTTCTGTTATTTTAGTTTTTCATCAGATATATATTTGAAAATTATTTATTTATTTATTTATATTGACCTATTTAAAACAATGCAATAGTTTAAAACCTTAACCATAAATACTGATTGAAAACTGTAGCTGCTCCAATGACACTAGATTGTCTGTTTTTTAATGATGTCCATTATTTTGACAAGGCCATTCAGAATGGCTCTAAAATGGCAGTCTCACTTCCTCAAACTAAGCGCTAAGCCATTAAACTTGCAAAATGTTTGTCAACAAAGATTTCGTTTTATGCATTCTAATGGCCTATTTTCTGTACAGCTGCATAAATAAAAGCCATCACTCAAACACCCTATTACAACAGGAATAAAAGTCCCAAAAGAAAGCCTGAAAACAGAATCTATGAATCTCGCACTACAAATCCCACAAACACACATACATTCCCTCACTGTATTATGGTCTGTAGCAAGGGGAGGGAATGAGGTATTGATTGACATACCTGGAAAATGCTGGCACCATAGGGAGTCCTCCAGGCATTCAAGAGATTGTCCTTCCCAGTGCTCACAAACCATTTACCTTTAGGAAATGGAACAAACACACATGCACTAATGGGTACAGAGTCAAGGTTTATCTAAATGACTTGATTCACTGCAGCTCAACTTATTTGGAAGTAGAGTGGGCCATTAAGAGAAAAAGAGAGAGAGTACTGGGGGTGGTACAAAGTGCAACTTGGCCCGCCAAAAATGGAAAAACACCATTGAATACTAAAGTAAGGCTGAAGTACTGAAGTGCAATTGTTTTCCCATGTCATGTCTCAGACATATTTTACAGCAAGTCTAATGTTTTCCCCCCCCATTTATTCTCAGGTGCAAGATGCACTACATATAAGGTAAAGTAACGGTGTCTTACCACAGTAGGCAAATTTGAGGGAGAGGACACAGCTCTCATGCAGGTGCAGCTGGTACTTGTCAGGCTTGGTGTGATGAAGCACCTCCACATTACTGCTCTCCATTCCCACAGCCAGCCACTCGCCCGTCGGACAGTAGCCCAAAGAGAAGATCTAGATGAGAGCACAAAAGCCCATCACAAACTGATCTAAAAGTGCATAGACAATTTATGCATAAACACTGATTTGGACATTTAATACATAATCAGAAATGGAATAGTACAGAAGTCATTAAAATAAGTCAAGAAAATGTTTAAATGTAGTGTTACAATGCAATGTATACACATATATATTCAGAAATACACTAGTGTTCAATTTTTTTCCTCAAAATTAACACTTTTATTCAGCAAGGTTCAGCATGACTGTTTTCTACATTAATAGGTTTCATAAGAACCAAATCAGCATATTAAAATGATTTTTGAAGGATCATGTTACACTGAAGACTGGAGTAATGGCTGCTGAAAATTCAGCTGTCATCACAGGAATAAATTACATTTTAAAATAAATCAATTAAAAACGCTTATTTTAAATTGCAATAATATTTCACAATGATATTATATATTATACTATGTTTATATATGATTTTTGGGTGTGTAACATTTACCTGTGAAGTAAAGTCATGCTGCTGGAGTTGTCGTCCCTCTCTCAGGTCCCAGGACCGTACTGTGTTGTCCAGTCCACCTGTCCACAGTTTGGTGCCATCATGGGAAATGTCTATACAACTTGCACCATCTGTGTGGCCCTGGAACTGCCTGCATACATAGACAAGACATATACACATCGTCGTTTAATTCATCAGAACAGCGTATACATCTCTATCCTCAAAGAAACACTATTTCATGCAGCATCACCTGGCATGCTTCCTACCTGACAAGGGTTTGGTTATGAAGGTCCCAGACAGCAATATTTCCATCACTGCAGCAGGAGAAGCAGACCTTGGCATCAGGGCTGATCGCCAGCGCATAGCAGGCCGGGGCAGAAGAGGTGAGCTCGGCTTTGATACGGGGAGTCTGAGAGGCCAAATCCCATATGGTCAGAGTGCTGGCTTCCCCTCCAACGATCAAAGTGCGGCCATCCGGAAGCAGCTTACAGGAACGGATATAGTTATCCCTGTTCTGAAGGGAGAGAAGCGGGGAACATATGTTGAGAGTCAGACATTTTTGGAATAATACATTAAAAGAGTATTTTTTTTTACAAAACAATTTTACAAGAATATGTACAAATGTCCCTCTCCAGCCCTCAATAATCAGGCTGAAGTGGTGAACCAATCTAAATGGTAGGGCTGAAAAACAGCTGTTCAGCTCCCTGTTATTTGCTCTGGCTCTCTAAATCCTGTCTAACCTGTGTTTATGAAGGCTAATCGAGGAGGAGAGGCGGCCGATAAGAGGGAACAGAATGGTAAGTGGGTAGGGAAAAGCTTTTAAAGGTTTTTAGTTACAGCACCAGGATGAAGCGCATTTTTAAATTAGCAGGAGAATTCTAGACCTGCTCCTGAGGGAGATCAATAAGTCCAGGCTTTCAGACAAATTAAATCACTTTATAATGGCCGAACAGCTCATCAAATACACCGCTTTCTGCACTATGGAGCAAGCACAGGGACATGCAAGTTACACAGACTGAGGGGGATAATGGAGAGCCATCATGGTATTTTCCCCTAGAATAACTACACATAGCCTGAAGATTGGTTCTTTATTTAGCAGGGGGATTAAAGGGAAGAAAGATTAAAAATAGTTAAAAAAATTCAAAAGAGTGGATATTGTACTTCAGAAAAAATAATTCCGGTAATTTGTGTGGACTGATTAAACAACATGAATTTTTACCAGACAGTCAAGTTGTGAGACGGGGCTCTTGCTGCCAGGCTGACTGATATCCCAGATCTTCACGCAGCCTTTGCCGCCAGTATAGACGTGCCGCGTGGGGTTGCTGATGGTTACGGCACACACCACCTCACCGTGGCTGAGTGTGTTGATCTGACGGGCATGACGGGGAATGCCTGGTCCAATCAGAGCATCTGGAGGAAAAGGTACTGGTTGCATCTGCCCATCTGCGCTAACGTGGAAGGAGTAGGCCCTATTTATTAGAACATAAAAGAATGAATGAGATAAAAAAATTGGAATGATCAATAATCAATAAGAAATTCTCAAACATGTCACATGATCCTTCAGATATCATTCTGTGTTGATTTGGTGCCCGAGAAACACTACTTATTAACAATGTTGAAAACATTGTTGTTGAAAACATAAATGTCACTTTTGATCAATTTAACGCATCCTTGCTAAATTAATGTATTCATTTCTTTCACAAAAAAAAAAAAAAAAAAAAAAAAAAAAAAAAAAAAAAAAAATTTTAACAAAAAACCTGTTTGCGAAGTTGTCAGGCCAAAACAACACCATCTCTATCCACAAAGAGACACCATGTCATGCAGCAACCCTTGGCTTGCTTCCTACCTGACAAGGGTTTGGTTATGAAGGTCCCAGACAGCAATATTTCCATCACTGCAGCAGGAGAAGCAGACCTTGGCATCAGGGCTGATCGCCAGCGCATAGCAGGCCGGGGCAGAAGAGGTGAGCTCGGCTTTGATACGGGGAGTCTGAGAGGCCAAATCCCATATGGTCAGAGTGCTGGCTTCCCCTCCAACGATCAAAGTGCGGCCATCCGGAAGCAGCTTACAGGAACGGATATAGTTATCCCTGTTCTGAAGGGAGAGAAGCGGGGAACATATGTTGACAGTCAGACATTTTTGGAATAATACATTAAAAGAGTATTTTTTTTTACAAAACAATTTTACAAGAATATGTACAAATGTCCCTCTCCAGCCCTCAATAATCAGGCTGAAGTGGTGAACCAATCTAAATGGTAGGGCTGAAAAACAGCTGTTCAGCTCCCTGTTATTTGCTCTGGCTCTCTAAATCCTGTCTAACCTGTGTTTATGAAGGCTAATCGAGGAGGAGAGGCGGCCGATAAGAGGGAACAGAATGGTAAGTGGGTAGGGAAAAGCTTTTAAAGGTTTTTAGTTACAGCACCAGGATGAAGCGCATTTTTAAATTAGCAGGAGAATTCTAGACCTGCTCCTGAGGGAGATCAATAAGTCCAGGCTTTCAGACAAATTAAATCACTTTATAATGGCCGAACAGCTCATCAAATACACCGCTTTCTGCACTATGGAGCAAGCACAGGGACATGCAAGTTACACAGACTGAGGGGGATAATGGAGAGCCATCATGGTATTTTCCCCTAGAATAACTACACATAGCCTGAAGATTGGTTCTTTATTTAGCAGGGGGATTAAAGGGAAGAAAGATTAAAAATAGTTAAAAAAATTCAAAAGAGTGGATATTGTACTTCAGAAAAAATAATTCCGGTAATTTGTGTGGACTGATTAAACAACATGAATTTTTACCAGACAGTCAAGTTGTGAGACGGGGCTCTTGCTGCCAGGCTGACTGATATCCCAGATCTTCACGCAGCCTTTGCCGCCAGTATAGACGTGCCGCGTGGGGTTGCTGATGGTTACGGCACACACCACCTCACCGTGGCTGAGTGTGTTGATCTGACGGGCATGACGGGGAATGCCTGGTCCAATCAGAGCATCTGGAGGAAAAGGTACTGGTTGCATCTGCCCATCTGCGCTAACGTGGAAGGAGTAGGCCCTATTTATTAGAACATAAAAGAATGAATGAGATAAAAAAATTGGAATGATCAATAATCAATAAGAAATTCTCAAACATGTCACATGATCCTTCAGATATCATTCTGTGTTGATTTGGTGCCCGAGAAACACTACTTATTAACAATGTTGAAAACATTGTTGTTGAAAACATAAATGTCACTTTTGATCAATTTAACGCATCCTTGCAAAAAAAAAAAAAAAAAAAAAAAAAAAAAAAAAAAAAAAGGTATTCTAACAGTAGCACGTTATGCAGAGTTTGAGCTCAATAACAGCACTTACGGTTTTCCTCCAGGTATAGAGGCCAGACTTGTTGGCAGACCAGGGGCACGCATGTGGGGATGAGGATCAAAGCCCGCCTACAACACACAGACATCTTAGTATCTCAGCATTAAAGAGTAAGCTGCAAAACAAACCGAAACTGATTTTAAAGTCTGATTTTTCCCTGTATCAGCTTAATTGTCATATTGTAATATATTGTTAATATTCTAGTTTAGCTCTTGTTCGCGCTTTATCTCTCCCCTCAAGCCATTATTAAAGACCCCCCAGAGAAGTGTTACTTCCCATGCCATTAGCACAAACACAGAGATGCAGAAAAAACGCAGTACAAACGCAAAAGGTAATATTTAACCGGAATGCCATCCTAAAAGGGTATGCATGTAAAGTTAGCCTCCGAGGTATGGAAGAGAGCCGCTAAAGGCCATTCTAGATGATTAGAGGAACAGGAAGTGTGTGTGTGTGTGTGTAAGACAGAGACAGAAAGAAAACTGCAACAGGACAACAAGCTTAGGAATGTATATGTAATCAGAAAATATAAAGACAGGCGCTAAAGGCCATTCTAGATGATTAGAGGAACAGGAAGTGTGTGTGTGTGTGTAAGACAGAGACAGAAAGAAAACTGCAACAGGACAACAAGCTTAGGAATGTATATGTAATCAGAAAATATAAAGACAGAGAGTCTAACCATAGGTGAGCGTCCATAAGCAACAGCGGCACTCATCTGAGGGGAGATGTGAAGGCCAGGGTAAACACCCGGACTGGTCAATGAGCCGTTCATCTCTGGGTGGTGACCCATCATGGCAAACGGAGCCCCATATGGCGACGCAATCGACAATGGTGTACGTAGAGCAGGTGCTGCTGGGAATATATAAATAAAAGCCAAAGTTGAAAAGCTATGAATGCACGCATACACTTACAGGTTTGACTGGTTAGCATAGCCCCATCATTTTTTCTTTGGCTCCAGATTAGCCACATAGCATCACCAGCTCAGGTGGCTGGTTTCAAAAAGTTGTCCAATACTCAAAAATATGGTCAAAAAGTTTCAATGAATGTGAATGCCTAATGAATGGATAGGTTTAAAAGTGCACATTTACTACTTACTCAGCGCTTCCATGCCTAATGGTTTTCCGGGTATGGGCCTGAGCCCAGGGGTGTTGCTGGTTCCTGGGGTGGGAGCGTCGTTGCGTGGGGTGGGGGTGTTGGACTTTAAACCTGGGGTGGAGGACTTGTCGTTCTGAAAGATGAAGGAACAGAGATGGAATTAACTGAGGTAAAGCTACATACCACAAATGCTCAAATCCAGAGAGCTCTCTCGCACTAATCCAGTCAAACACTGACAGCTCATTATAGCGGAGGAGGATAAAGCTAAACTTCAGACCGAACCCTTCCCCGAGACCTCATCCTCTCACTCATCTTTAATCACTCTCTCTTCTCTCTTTTTTCCTCTTCCCCTCTGAGGCTAGCTAAGCGCATTGAGATATTAGCCAAGGCTAGCGGCTAAGCCGCTGTTTGTCTGACAGTAGCTGATGTATTCATGTTATGCTTCAATCTGACATTTACACTGCAGCTATAAAGTTGAGGAGAGGAAGAGGGTTTTGCAAATGTGCAGAGGCTTGACACCATAAATGCCCATCCTCTATTTCTTAACACTTACATGTGGGTGGTCCTTCACTTTTGAGGAGGGGGTGCTCCCAGAGGAGGCCACAGAAGCCGGGCTGTTGGGGGCATCTTTCTTCAGTGCTCTGGCCTTATCAAGTCCATTCTCAGGAGGAGAGTGAGACGGGCTGACCCTTGGAGTGGCTGGATCCTACAGTGGGAAACAGAAACGTCACATACGAAAGAGTAGCAGTTCTCCAACCAAAAATGGGAAGCAGATATACTAGTCTTTACCTCGTTGGAAACATCCACGACCAGATCATCACTTTTGTCACCATCACTGTCCTGTAGTGTAAAAACAACAGTTACAGGAGTGACCCAAGAAAATAATGGATTTCTAAAAATAACATGGATAGGAGAAAAAACATTTGGCTAAAACACAGCTGCCTGTCAAAGTTGTCAGTATGAACAATCATAAATTTCTAGCATGGTATAGACAGTTTATATAGACACTCACCATAATATACACTACCATTCAAACGTTTGGGGTCAGTAAAGAGTTTAGCAGGGTTTAAGTCTCTTATGCTCACAAAGACTGCATTTATTTGATCAAATATACAGTAAAGTATAATTCAAAATAACAGCTTTCTCATTTCAAAATGTTTTTTAAAACTATTGGACAGATAGAAAGCACAAATAACTAAATAGAAATATTGTGTAACAATGTAAAAGTATTTACTGACACTTATGATTAACCTTGCTAAAAAGTTTGAACAGTAGCATATGTTTTTAACAGCAAAAAGAACATGACTTAATTAGGGATGCACAATATATCAGTATCGTATCACTCAGAGATCTGTAAATATGAGATATTTAATAGTGCAAAATCATTTACATTTAGATCACATTTGGCTCATCTGATGCTCACTTAAATTTATTCTTTAAAACACTAATTGAACAGCTAAATTAAATCTGTTGCAAGTCACGATATGAATGCCCATTTAAAACAACTGATTTCTGTATGCGGGGCTGTATTATACAGAATCGTACATATCGGCCCATGTTGTCCTTCTCCTCCACTCTGCGTTTCTTCGGGTCCAGACTGTATTCAGACGAGCCTCTGTGTTTCTCACTGGCCCTCAGGCTGTCTGACGGTGATACTGAATTATTCTGCTTAGACAAGGAAATAAAAAGTTGATCAGCACAAATCACAAATAAAAGCTTACCACTTTGCAACTCGGTGACAATACAAACACTTAATGTTCCCTGAAACAATGCTACATTTACATAATAATATAAAGCATAATGAATATAAACATTTTGCATTGCGTAAAATCAATAATTCAGGATCCTCCCTCAAAAGGTGTCATCTTGAGAAACCCAAACTGACAGAACCCCTCAAATGTCATGTAGCATTCATATATTTACATTAGCAGGTTCATTACATTTTAAACAAACACTCCATGTAAGAACATCTCCTTCAAAAATATCACAACAGACACTTTAGGTTCAGCTCATTAGCTGCAGACAGTCAGCTATGCTCAGGATGGCCCAGACTCTCAGTAGCACAAATACATATATCAGAGGCGACATGGGGCCACCGGTGGCTTTGAGCGAGCCATGTGTGTAAATTCCACGCTCGTACAAGGTAAATACGGAGAAGCGAGGGGGTTAAGCCCCAGGCTCTGTTAGATCACCCTGTACTCCCTGGCATGGAGAAAAGGAGAGAGCGTGGGGCCTGCCAAGTAAGCAAGCCCAGGCCCCATGAAGCAAAGCAGGCGGGACAGCTGAGCAAACTATCCCTGAAGAGTGAGGCCTCTAAACCAGCCTGACCACACCACACTTCAAACATTCTGGGCTAACCTCGCAGCCCTGGGCAACCTGCACCGAGCATTACACAACGCCAATGAGCCAAACTGGACAGCAGGGTCAAGCGAAAACTGATCCCTGCGGCACGGAGGGGGGAGAGAGAGAACAACACAGTGAAACGCAAACACCAGACCAGAATAAACGGCCCCTCACCCCGAGAGTTAACCAGCCAGACGACAGCTTGCGTTCCTACCCTCCTGCACATGCCCGCCCTGACTAAAACACAGCAAACAGCCACTCTTTTACCACAACGACTGGGCCTTAAAAGAGGGAGTGAGTCCATGTATGCCACTTTTACTCCCCGGCCCTCTGCCAAAACCACTTGTAGAGCCACACGATTAATCGAAATAAAAGTGAAATAGCAATATGGCTTAGAGCGATTATCAAATTGCAAATGCGGTGATTGAATTAAAAATAAATATATGCACAGTGTGTTTTGGAGGGAAGCGTTCCTTATACAAGCAAGCAGCAAAGCGGCTTGTTCACAGTAGGGATGCACCGATATGAAAATTTTGGCCGATACCGATATGGTGGCCGATATATCGTGCATCCCTAGTTCACAGTAAATTCTTAACCTCACCAACTTTATCTCTGCATGAGCTATGAGTTTGGGTCACTTATGTGTATTTAAAAACACAACACATACCAACCAACCATCTTCCCTAAAATTGATAAAAAGTGGTCAAAAAAAAAAAAGTTTAGATTTAAGGAAATCCTGTGGTTTTCGGTCTAAAAAGCTTGATTGTTTAATACTTGAACCATTAATGAAGACAGCCACAGCTATTAGTATTGTAATTTTACAGTTCTTCTGTAAAATAAAATAATTTGTTATTTTACAATGAATTACAATAGTAATATTTCCCATTTCATTTAATATTATAAATTGCAAAAATCAAACAAAAAGTCTAACAAATTGTGAAGCCCTTCCAAAAACAAGCACAGCAAACCTAGAGCTTCCATTCCAATAATACTAATTCTTATATAATAATAATAATAATAATAATAATAATAAATTAAAAAAAATAGCAATGATCTTTTTCCAAATTACACATCTCTACTTTATTGTATTGGGTGGCTTAAATTACGAAAGTATTCTTAAACTTTGTGTGGGTACCATAGGAGAAAGTCACAGCAGATAAGACAGGAATGGAGGAAGGAAGAGCAGCTGAAGCTACATAGCCCAGAATGCATCGAGAGTAGCAGCGGCTGAGTGGTGCTCCCTCTGTGAGCACGGCTGGGCAGGCGGGCACCATCTCTGGGCCAGAGAGTGTGGCACTGCCAGTGCATGGATCTCAGTGCCAAGCCCACACTCTCAGTCTGACTGACAAACCTCTATTCATGCAGAGAGAGAAGGGGAGACAGATGAAAAGGAGGATGTGGCTGGGCCAAAGGAAGTGATCTCCAGGCAGAAGGAACTCCATACTCTCCTGAAGGCGACACAAAGGAATCCCGGCAGCTTAAACCCCACTCACAAACACTCTACAACAATCTCAGTGTTGCTTTTGTCAGCACTAAGCAGCCCATTTCTCTCCCTACCCCCTTCTTCTGCTAATCCAAAAGTAATAAACAGACCTAGACTGCTCTCTCAGCCTGACAGGGGAGCGTGCGTGTGTGCGTCTCAGCTGCGGGTTTAATAGGCTGACCTTTTAAGACAGGCTTAACGTGACTCAATAAGCAAAGTCAGAGCGGTGCTATCAGATGACCCGTGACAACAGGAAGTCCTGGCGGGCAGAGAGTAGGATGGCCGCTGCTGCACTAAGCGCTAATCAGCAGCAGAGTCTGATTTCTGCAGGCATGACTGCACCCATTCACACTGCTGCCCATTCAACACACACACACACACACAACTCTATTGCCAAGTCAATCCTTTCTGCATATCCAGTTTAAGAGGAGAAATGGGGCAATCCAGCAGGAGATAGGGAGACTTTAAGTGGTTATAAGAAAACTGCAAATAAACATGAAAAGAGATATGCACAGAGGGACAGAACGAGAGCTGTGGCGACAAAGAGCCAAAGGAACGAGCAAAAGAGCAGTTACCAAAACTGAAGAAAAGAGGCACAAGGAGAAACAAAGGAGGCGGCAATGAGATATGGTTGAATGAGTCAGGTTTATCTGAGCCAGGAGTCGCAGACATGAAGAGTGGTTGAGGACAAATCCTTTAAAATAGAGAGTCAAAGTCTTTTTTAATTGTGATGAAATTATAGCGCTGCTAATCCCTGGCCTGTGCTTTTGCGCATTTTTTACCTGGATTAAAAGTAGGATTATACAGCAGGCTCCCCTCTCTTTTTTATTATTATTTTTTTTAAAGGCTTAGTGTGCCCTAATGCTGCCTGCTCTGCTCTCCTCACGCTGTTAACGTGCCGCCGACTCCCCTCTTCATCAAACGCCAGGACTTAAAGGAACAGTTAAACGAAAAATTTTAATTCTGACAATTTATTTACATGTCGCTTCAAACTGTTTGAATTTTGTGGAACACTACAGGGGTCATTAGTGAGAGATGTGAAATGGAGAAATGTGACACTCAAGGCAGGTTTTTTTTGTTGTTGTTGGACAGGTAAGGGAACTGGTGTGTAGAGTCTTCGCTCTAAAACTCATTAAGATCAGCGTAATTTACATAAAATTTAAGAGACAATCATGCTGATTCACTTTGACAGATGGCAGTGCAGCATCCAACACCATTGTGGCATCAGTACTTAAAGTACACAAAGAACGATGCGAACACTTGCTAAAAAACTTCTAAATGAATCCACACAGTAGTTATGTGTAAGGAGGAACAGACTAAAACTGAAGTTCTGCATAAAAAAAGCAAGTAGAGACAGACATGGAAAATCAGAAAATGACAGAACTCACCGTGCTAGATTCCCGCTCTTTATCCATGGGAGAATGAAGTCGTTGTTAAAAGAAACAGATAAAGAAAAACACCAAGTCAGCATTTACATTTATTTTCTTACCAAAGCATGAGCGTACCGCTTCAGGACATTTGTTTTTGTTTTCTCTTCAGTGCATACGTGTGTTACCTCTGTGCTCAAGGTCATGATGGTTCTTCTCGTCTTTGACTGGCAGGTGCGCCTGGCTGCCCAGAGCTCCCAGCGCCAGCAGACCTGAACCTGAGCCCGTGACTGGAGGGATGCCTGGTGGCTGCAGTGCCGAGGGGTGAGGGGGCAGCTGGACCGGGGGTCCATGGGCAGCATGAGAAAGGTGTTGAGCCTGGAGCTGCTGCTGCTGTCAACACACACATGTACATCAAGTCGGTCGGAGGGAAAAGGCATATGGACAGCACACACTGAATAAAGGTGACCGGTTAAGCTCCACTCTCACAGGATGCACGGAGAGGAACACTGGCACCCTAACACCTCCATTAGTGGCTGGATCAAAGCAGGATACCCTTCACAAGGACATGTCCTCCTTGAGCTCAGCAGGAACAGCTCACTCCGACACATACTACAGATTTCTAAACATGCACGGCTCTTAACTACACTACTTAACATGCATCTTTTTGCAACAAACCAGAAATACATAAAACCTTGACTAGTTACATGAGCTTCAAACTGAATTTTTACACACTCCTATCCTATACAATTAAAAAACAATATTAAAATAAGGGTGCATTCTGGTATTTGTTTTCCGAGTCAATATGTACACATATTCATTCACTATATTACATATACACACACAAACACACACGCACAGTCAAGTGAGTTATAGGTAAACATCAAATGAATGACATCCACTACAGTCACCTTACAGCCCATAATATTTCAGAGTTTACACAGGTCCGTGGTTACCATCTCCTAGGCTATGCCACTCCTCCATGCCTCCTTAACAACAGCCAATCAGACAAGCCATTCAATGTTTGTGTTAATTTAATAGCCTGTAACACGTGGTGTCAAAGCAGTAGCTGTTTACAGCTGAGAGAGGAAGATGTAATAATCCAACTGATAAAATCAGGTAAATGTGTGTTGCACTATGTGATCTATCTTAATTCCATCTGGATTAAACATTATGTTGGTCATTGCTTAATGTCTGTTAAAAAAAAAAATACATAAAAGGTTTTGTCTTTTTAAAATTTTGGATTTAGACCTTTTGGGTAAAATATCGGAATCTTTTTTCATGTGAAAAGTCCAATCACAGACTGGTATAATTTTATACATCAATTCCCACAATTGTACACTATAATTATAGAATTTATCACCAGACCAATTTTGCTGGATTAACGGTCCTGTGACACATACATCCAATGCACCTTCCCAAATCTACAGTAGATAGACATGCCCATATTAGTAACAAAACTCCAAATCAGTCTACATCAGTACTTAACTAATAACCATCTCAAAAACGAATCCAGTCCATATAGTGCTTAACAAAAAAAATATTCAATTTCAGATTTTAAAAAAAAGCTGACATACACTACCATTCAAAAGTTTGGGGTCAATATGATTTTTCTTTAAAGGGGTCATATGTCATAGGGGTCGATTTAAATTTTTCCTTTCTCTTTGGAGTGTTACAAGCTCTTGGTGCATAAATAAGATCTATAAAGTTGCAAAGACTAAAGTCTCAAATCCAAAGAGATATTCTTTATAAAAGTTAAGAGTCAGCCACACCTACCTAAAACGGCTCGTTCTAACACACCCCCACATATCTACGTCACTATGTGGGAAGATTTGCATAACGCCGCCCAAATGTTCACGCAAAGAAGGAAGGCATAACTTTTATTCTCGCTGTAGTATTGTTATTGCCGCCGCCATGTCGTGAAGGCGCTGTGTGTTTTGTTGTGAAAGCGAAACTACTTTGTTTGGCCTTCAAAAAGACGACCATATCTGCTTCGTCATGCCTGGAGCTGATCCGTGCTGGTTGCTGAGGAAATACAACAACTTTGCGCTGTGGATCGCCGGATCGGCTTTCACCGTGGACGAAGCGGAGTCCAGCCCGGGGTCGTCACATGTGGTTGCCGCAAGCCCACCGGACGCTCCGTCGAATCCGCCGGCCGCGCCGTTCTCAAGCCCACCGCCTTCGCCTAGGACTAGCCCCCGGCCTCTGCTCACTCTAGGCCGCCGCCGCTCACTCAAGGCCACCGTGTGTGACGCTGTCTCTCGTTGTGAAAGCGAAACTTTGTTTGGCCTTCCAAAAATGGACACGACTAGAAATCAGTGGTTAAGTTGTATTTACAACACTGTTCCAGAACACTTCAACCCAAATATTCAGATGTGTGCAGCACATTTTATGGAGGACCGTTTCCTGATCCTGGTAGAGTAGACTACAATGCCGGCTGTTCTGACTCACGAACTGCAAGTACGTTTTTTATATTTAAAGAGTTTTTATATTTTTTATTTTTAAAGTGAGTTTTTTTAGGCAGTGTAAAGTAGGGCTTGCTGTTTGTAATTTCTCCGATCACAAATGCAGACATGGTTTTGTGTTTACGCGGCGCAATGCAACACAAAAAAAGACAGTATAAGTCATTATAATCCATAATTATGTCCCCACTGGATGCAACGAATGCCTCGTTTGTAATGGGTATTCATGTTTTTGAATCACCGCTCTGGCTGGACAGGGCATCACAGTACGGTAAGGGGCATAACATTTCCGTCACACGCTTGAGGTATTCGGCCAATCATAACGCACTGGATAGCTGGCCAATCACAGCACACCTTGCTTTTCAGACCGATGAGTTTTGTAAAAATCGACACGTTTCAGAAAGGCGGGGCATAGTGGAGAAACAATAATGTACAGTATGTGGAAAATAGTGTTTTTTTTAACCTTAAACCGCATAAACACATTTCATTACACCAAATAATGTTCTTTATAGCAACATCACATGACCCCTTTAAACTGATCAAAAGTGACAGTAAAGACATTTATAAATATGTTGCAAAAAGTTTATAAATAGAGCAAAAAATTGTTTCCAATAAATTCAAGAAATTTCTAAATTTTAAATGCGATAAGAAATCAGCATATTAAAATGATTACAGAAGGACCATGTCACAATGACAAATCCAGCTTTGCCATTAACTACATTTTAAAATGTATTAAATTATTGTAAATATATTTATATTGCATTTTTGATCAAATAAATGCAGTCTTGGTGAGCACAAGAGACAAACAAACAAACAAAAGAACAGTAGTGAAAGTATGATCTGTGAAAAGATAATTTCAAATAAGACTTTGTAAGCAGAAATGTAGCTCTACATACAAACATTTTCTCATGCAAAATGTAGCACATTTAGTTTTATGCATTCAGTTGTTTTAAGCAATCAAAATATGTATCAAACATTTTATTTATGTATCAGCAGTCATCAATGTAAAGAGGGCTCAAATATATAATAAACATTTATAAACCTGTGTGAACAAGCACTAATATTCTCCCAGTAAACAGCCATTGCTTTGACACCAACGATTAAAGAAAGCACAAGGCAGAACACACACATACACACTAGATAACACTGAGAAGCGTTAGGGTCTAAAGAATGTTGGGGTCTTAAATTCACTTCAAAAACCCAAATATAACACACACACAGAGGCTGTATTTAGCACTGACCATCAAAGCAGGGTAGACAGCATGAGGCTGCTGCTGATGAGAGAAAAGAGACGAGCATGTCATTACACGCTCACACCGCTCACTCATGAATAACACATCACTACTTCACAGATCCACCCAGGCACATGAATGCTGACCAACACTATTTCAGCAATGAAGGGTGCTTTTGTATTTAAATGTGCGTTTCTAACCTAACCACAGTGCTGAACACCCTAACCGTCCTAGAAAGACACAATGATCCCTACTAGTCTTCCACTAATAGCATAGTAGTGACAAATATAACTGGCTAAACATTCGCCTTTATCATTATAAGTCATGTTTTGAGTCAGACTGAGGCCATTTATGCTGCTAGTGTGAAATCTGAAATGCAAATGAACAGAAACGGCATTGCAAAATGAATCTGGTGTTCTGTATCTACACAAAAAGCAAACCTCTGCCGCTAAAATTTTACATAAAAAAAATAATAAAATTCACACTGACTTTTATATCAAGACAATTTTTACAACTTCTCATGAAATTAAGGTCTTGTTTGGCTTAACCATCACACCTGCATTAATATGCTTTTCAAGTGGTGAGCCAAGACAGATTATACTTGTGTATTACCTAGTCCTTTCATATAAATGATAAAAGGGCTTTTAAATTATTTTTAGCCGCCGTCAATTCACCTGAGACAGTTTAATTCCAGGTATAAAAAGGGCTAGGACTCCTTATAATCGGGTCTTTAAGTGTGAATTTACCTCTGCCATTCTAAGGCTGTATGTATATTTGGGCTGCAATACTTGGGGCTGGGGTGTTACAAAGTATTTGTGAAATCTAGCTAACAAAATATATATTGTGTGTTGGAGTGGTCCAGACGCTACAAGAAAAATAATTAAATTGTAGTTTGATAATTTAAATCAGTTTACAATTAAAAAAATAATACTATTTAATAAAAATAATACTGCTAAAGTGTTTTTTTAAAGAAATGATTACTGTAATATTTCTATTATTAATATCACTTTGTGATTGATTTGATCAATCACAGCCCTAGCATACATATACTGTTGCTTTTTTGCCATATTTGTATGAGTAACGCATACACTTGCTTGTGTGTGTGTGTATGTATGTATGTATATATGTATGTATGTATGTATATGTGTATGTATGTATATATATATATATATATATATATAATTATGTATATACACAAATATATATATACACAAGCAAGTGTATGCGTTACTCATACTGTTGCTTTTTTTTGGCACAGCTACAGCATCATTAACATAAAAACCTTGTTGGCTGTAACTTATTAGCAAAGCCACAGACATGTACAGCACTGTCACTTTAACAGGTCAGTGGTACCGCAGACTAAAGCTTTCATGGGCGCCTCTCTTCTCTTGCTAACCCACTTATTTGCCTCTACCCCTCCCTGTGGATATCACTCCCTCTCTCAATGTCTCTCTCTCCTTTCACAATCTTCCTTCTCCTCTCTTTCTCTCTCTCTGTGCCAAACGCTGCTGGCTCCTGATTAACAGTGAATCTTTAATGACCCCCCTCCCCCTCTCCGTCAGGGCACACAGATTGATCTCCTGCCATCTCACCAGCCAACAAATAAAAGCTTGTTTTTTTTTTCCAAGCCTGTGAGGATGTGTGTGAGAGTGTGTGTTAATTCCTGCAACAGTGCGGCAAGTGTCTGCCTGACTACATCTATTTATCCACCATCATGATGACCATGTGACTGCTAAGTGTGTGTATGTGTGAGCAGAAGCAACAAGCCCTTCCCCCATGCCTCCCCCACCTCTCGCCAAGCTGCTCTGCTGAATGGCTAGCTGTTAAATGATGGAGCCCCGTCGACAGTTGCATTCAGGCAGATTCGAGGAAGCAATTACCTTGAAAACAGGGGTCAGAGTCTTGGCTCATTTGCCTTAATTGAATTCCAATATCTGGCTCTGGCTGTCCTGACCCAGCTCAGGACCTCCTACCCACCAGCCCATCCTAGGCTAATCAAAGTTGGATAGCCACAGGAGACACACTAAGTACTTTTACATCCAATACAAGTTTGATTTTAGTTACTTAGTAGATTTTACTAAAACAATCATTGTTTTTGTTTTTGAATCAAATGGAAACTTAAGACACCAAGAAAGTAATTATTCACCTTTATGAAATGCTTAAGCACACTAGTTTGGTTTTTAGAACTACTACTGGACCTAGATAATGTGATTGTAGCTCGTCTTTGTCAAGCATAGCATTCTGTGCTTGCTCTGAAAGACAGATGTGACTATGTAGATTTAATCTTTCAAATAATACACACACACACACACACATACATACATATATATATATATATATATATGTATGTATGTATATATTTGGACAGCAAGATCATGTATACATAACTGTGATTAAATGCACATGTAAGAGTACTTCTGTTCTTAGTTTACGGACCTACAGAAATGCATAATTTAGATTAAGCACGGCATAAAATTATCTCTTATTAAATTAGAATCAAATACATTGCCTGATATTTTACACTTGAAACAGTTAACCCTGGATCATTCTAAACTCGGGGTAAACAGATGCCTGGATTATCTTGATTCACATTTCATACTGTTCATACTTTACCCAAGATTATCACTTGAGTACTCATATGCTGACGTTTCACACTGTACATTCCTACATCCCAGGTTAATGTTCCTATATGTGATGTCAGTGTCATTGACTGGACAACCACAGCAAGCATCATGTTTAACAGCATCCTCATCTTGTGTGTTGGTGACTGTACTATAAGTTAACACACTATAAAGATAAGCATGACACGGTTTGTCACTATTTGACATTTTCCAAATCAAATGATGTTTATACACAGTGCAGTGTTTCCATAATGGTAATATGAGGTATGTGATTGATTGTCTGTTGCTAAGCATCTAACCATAACATTCTAACACCGCATCTTTTCACTTTGCACAAGATTGGCACCACAATTTAATATGCCAACTCTAGGTAAAAAGCGTTGCTAACCCCGCTTCTAAAATACAAGTGTGAAAAATACCTTTACTCAGGGTTAAAAGCCGGTTTTAAAATGACAATAACCAAGGGTTAGGCAGTGTAATTAGCCTAATACAGAAACTGGTTAAATTCAAGTAAGGTTTGTGTTGCCCAAGTCAATAGGAAGCTTCTCAATGCTCCTTAACACAAGCTCTTTAAAGTATTTAACATGGCTAATCACAGACAACCCTGACCGAATTAAGACTTCTCCCTTTGTGTAATCAAAACAAGAGCTTAACTACACAAGCCTAAACATGCTTCCCTCCACATGCCTCTCAACCCCTGTGACAAACAGACACGCAGAGAGAGAAGCACTACACGCACAAATGAATTCATATGATCCGAGCGGCACACACCGACGAGACAAAAACAGCAATGGCATAAAAAAGCAAACATCATGGTGTAAACATATGACACCACAAATTAAAAAGTAAAATCAGACCATGAAGGGCAGGGGCAAATCTGCAGCAAGAGACTGATGGGACTAAGACACACCAACAATCCTGATCTCCGCATAGAACACAAGTAACGCCTCCGGCAAACACAGATTTGCCCTTGGACTGTTTAAGAGCTGTTGAGGTGATAGGTGTTGGATTGAAGGTTTTACAGTGGAGGATTACAGCTGATGTATCACCCTTGACCCAAACCCCGCTTGTGGGAGTAGGCTAGTTTACCTTCTTTAGCAGCTAATTTGATCTTTATTGCTACATACTATAAATCCAATTGTCATTTAGGAGCCAGGCATGAATGCATTAGTACACTGAGCTGCATGTGTGCAGGTTTGTCCCTGGCCCTGGTCAAATGAAGGAGAAAGAGGGGTATACACACGGTAAGAGGCAGATTGGGAAGTCCACGTACCCCGATGATGGCATTCAACTCTGTCATTGTCACTTGCTTAGCACGTTCAACAGCCTGTGCAACCTGCTGTTGGTGCTGGAGGAAAGAGAAAAGACAAATCAATAAACTGAAAATTAGCATGGGCTAACAGAAATAACGGCACTAAGATGGCTTATTTTATTAACAGAAATTGAGAATATTTACCTCTTGTGACAAAAAAGGCATGATTTGAGCAAGAATCGCATTTAGCCGTTTGGCAATCTCAGTCTGAAATAGAATAACAGAGACATACAAATAGTAAGGTTATTAAATGTTGTCAGCTCTTTTCTAGTCACTCAAATGTACTTAATTCATGACAGCATGCGTTCCAGCACTCACGTTACTTTCACATTGCTGAATGCTCTAATCAAGCCTCCGTGCATCTAAACGAGGCATGATGGGATACCTCCAGAACTCCTGATTAATGAAGTAAAAACTTCAGAAACGTCGGTCTTCGCTGATGTTGCCATGTGTCAGATTTGCCGCATAATGAACACGAGGCAATTTGAGCACTGATATGGTGTGTGTGGCTCACAAAGCCAAACAGCGCTCCAGCACACTGCTACTGAAACAGATCTGGCCAAATCCACAGCTCTGCCAGGCCAAGATGGGCAGAAGGCCTGCGGTGCCCATCTGGCCAAGCGATGGAGAGAGGGAAGGAGGGATGGGGGGGTCGTCTGGCCTCAACCATCCCCCCCACCCCCTCATTACCCAGACAGATTATTTCATTAAGATGCTGAAATATGCTAATGCTGATTTGGTGCTGGGAGATTAACGATGGCAATACTGAGCAATTACCATTTTCCCCCATGCTCCCATTCCAGCAGCGCAGGAGGCGAGGAACCGGAGCCCTACAGCAATATTCAAAATGACTTTTATTGATATGGTGAGACGGACAGGGTAATCAGCCAACATGCTCTGGTTCTCCTGCATTACTCACGGCTACCTGAAGCCCCCAAGAGCTATATTTCATCATGAGATATGCTAACGCTTCAGAATGAAAAGGAGAGAAGGGAAAGGATAGCGTGAGGGAGGGGGGAGAGGAAGTATGGGGCGGTGAACAAATTGATTATAGGTTGGAGCAGATGGCCCAGCAGGTGAGGGAGGAGAGAAATTTCGCTCTTTCTTTCACTGCAAGCCACATTCCGTTCATTTTTTGGCAGCGTGACCTCTGTGCTTGTGGGAGGGTGCTGACCCTGGCACTCTGATGGATTCGGTCTCTCTTTAGAGCGGGCGAGAGTGGATGAGTTCTGACCTGTGATGAACTGTCTCTAGGGATGTGAACAAAGGATCTAAGCCCTCTCCACACCCCTTCAGAGTCATTGAGCCATTAATGCTTTGCTACACAAACACACACTCCTTCGCAAAACAAACACGTACAACAACAATAATCTGTAGGTATCCAACTAAAGCGAGGAAATATTCGAACATGAAAACGCTGCCTGTTCTCATACGCCAGCCGTACACGGAGCTTCTCTTTCCATCGCTTCACCCCCCTCCTCCCCTTGGCTTCCATTCCTGTATGCCACTCTGAGGTTGCCACAGCAACCGGTCCGCCCCTATCTCTCCCTCAGATCATTATGTAAATTGGAGCTCTGCTTGACCATAACAGGCAGTAAAATCATATTACACGCACAGGGGCAGGTCATTAAATTGAATTTTCAGCCTGTCGATCAGATCAACTCGGCAAATTAATGTGGGATGAAAGGGGGCAGACGGGGGAGGGGGGAGTAACGGCTTCTCTTTCATAGGTGGGGTGGGGTGAAGTGTGTGTGTGTGTGTTAAGAGAGGGAAGATTGGGAAACACTACTCTGCTGCCTGAGCCAAAAAACCCTGGTGGCTGTCCAAAGGAGAAGATATTCCACAGC